CTATGTCCCATGACTTACTAGCTATTGACCTTGACCAAGTTATTCATTCTCTCTGTGCCTCAGTTTCCTCATCTGTAAAATGATGATGATGATGATAATGGCACCTACCTCATGGAGCTGAAGAATGTCTAGTACATTCAATATATTTTAGCTATTTATATTATTTAGTGCAGGAGGCAGCTTTTATCTTGGGAAGCTTTATTAATGATTAATAATGTTTCTTTTAAGAACACACATCAGTCTAGTTGTGTAAACACATAACAGAATGGGGTTGGGGTAACCAGCTGGAAATTTTAGGGAAGAAAGCAAAACTATGAAAATGAATCCCCTTCCCTTTATTTAACAGCTAAATAAAAGGGACCCCACTGAAATACAGAATTTACTTGAATAATAGTGCCTCCATGGGGAGAAAGAAAGAGGAGGGGCTTCTAGGGAATGTCTCCTGTGAGTGGGTGTGGGTGTTCAACTTGCATTTCACGGCCATTTCCTGTATGTTTGAGTGAGCAGCCCGCCCTCACCATGGGTACAAATAGGAGTCTGGGGTACAAAAATGAAAGGCAAGCCCTGGCCGGGTCGCTCAGTTGGTTGGAGTGTTGTCCCAATGTGCCATGGTTTCGGGTTTGATGTCCAGTCAGGACACATGCAAGAAGCAACCAATGAATGCATAAATAAGTGGAACAACAGGTCAATGTTTCCCTCTCTCTCAAAAAAAGAAGAAAGAAAGAAAGAAAGAAAGAAAGAAAGAAAGAAAGAAAGAAAGAAAGAAAGAAAGAAAGAAAAAGAAAGAAAATAAGAAAGAAAAGAAAAGAAAGAGAAAAAGAAGAGGCAAGGAGAGCCTGAGGGGGGATCACAGCCCCCATACCTCCACCTGGCCGAGTGGCTGCAGCAGTGTCCTAGGTAGCCCCTGCTGACTAGAGGGGCAGCCTCTTCAACCTTGCTGCTATGCAGGGCGCTGTGAGTTCTGTTTCTACAATTCCAGAGAAATAAGTTGGCCCTTTCGTTGCCTGCCTGGGGGCATTATTTTGTGTTTAACTCAAGTAATTACTATCACTCCTGCACTGCAGGAGAGCCCCTTTAGGTCAGGCTGGGAATTAGGCAGTGTGGATCTGAATTCTGACTCTATCCTATTAGTTGTGTAACCTCAGGGAAGTCAGGTAAATACACTCAGCTTCCTCACGTGACACCAAGGATAACAAGGCTTTTGTTGTGAGAAATAAATGTTACAGAAACGATTAGCAGTGTCTGGGGCATAGCAAACTGTCAATACTGTAAATAGTGATTATTATTATTGTCTGCGGACCCAAAGAATGTCTGGAAGGATTATCTTCTGACCCCCATAGATACCCAACATGGCCCGTCCTCTGATGGGAAGGAGGAAGCCCCTCTAGCTGCTCAGATGGCTGGTGTCTTTCCTGCTGGCTAGTCATCTGCATGCGAACTCAGCTAGAGCCCTGCCATCCCCTCAGCACCCCCTCCTGTGTCCAGATCAGCTTGTTGGAGCAAATTGCCTTTAGACAGCACAATTCCATTTTCTTTCTCAGCTTGCAGCCTTCCTAATATATAATAGGATCTGAAAGAACTACCTTACTAGTCAACCCTGGACATAGACAGGACTTTCATCTTGCCCCTGATTGAGTTTTGGGAAATCCAGGGCCAGAGTTGCCACCATTAATTAGGTTGCAATTTGGGAGGAACCAAGGCAGGACCTCTGCACCCATTGCCCACTGTTCATTAATGATAATGTTTCCCCTTTGCATTTATGAGATTTTATTGATCTCCAAAAGGCTCCTAGGAGAATGAGAAATCAGGGTTCTGAAGCTGAAAAGGGCCTTAGGCACCAACTTGTCCAACCTCCTTACCCTTTATGTCTAGAACCTGAAGCTCGGTACTGCACTTTGTTTTACTGAATTACTGGGCATCTACTCTCTCCCCTGGCCTTCCTGACAATCCTTTAAGGGAGGTTTTCTCAGTATCCTTGTTCATAGATACAGAAATTGACTAATTTAATGCAGTGTGATAGGTAAGAGTATACACTCTGGAGCCAGACTGCTAAGGTTCATATTCTGGCTCCACTATCGACTAGCTGTGTGACCTTGAGCAAGTTACTTCACCCCCTTGAGCCCAGTTCCCCCAATTTGTAAAATGTTGGTAACACCTGGGGCAGTGCAAGTGCTGAGTGTCAGCTAGTTTTATTGTTATTCCTTAAGCCGGAACTCAGTAGACTTGTTGATTTCTTCAACGCATGTTTATTGAGCCCCTACTATGTGTCAGGCACAATGCAAGGTACTGAAGACACGGGGCGAGCAAGACCAGCCAGGGTAGGAAGAGCCTGATCATTCAGGGCCATAAAAAGAGTTAGATCTTCATCCCAGGAGCAAAAAATAAAAAATAAAAAGGTGAGCTGAGCAGTGACAGTGATCAGATCTGTGTTTTGAAAAGACTAGTGTGACCACAGTGTCAGGATAGATTGGTAGGTGGCAAAAGGGATGCAGGCAGGAGGGGCAGGAGGCTGAGGAGCACAGGTGTAAGGCCTGGAGCTCAGAGGGGAGGTCTATGCTGAGATAAAATGTGTGCCTTGTGTGTGCAGGCTGACGGCAGTCAGGGTCATGGTGAGCTGGCCCCGGAGGCTAGAACACTGCTGTCCAATACAGGAACCACAAGTCACGCGTGGCTCTTAAGCAACTAAATGTGAGTCTTCTGAATTTACATGTGCTGTGAGTATAGAACACGCTCACTGAATGTTGAAGCCTTAGTATAAAAGAATGTGAGATACCTCACTAGTAATTTTTTATTGGTTATGTGTTGAAATATTTTGAATATGTTGAATTAAATAAGATATATTATTAAAATTAATTTTACCAGTTTCTTTTAACTTTTAAAAACGTGGCTACATGAGAATTGAAATGGGATTGGCATTTGTGGCTCTCATCGGTTCAGTTGGACAACCCTGATCTAGAGTGGGAAGAGGAGAGGACACACACCCAGCCCTGGGAAAGGACAAACGTCCAGGTGGAGAGGATTGTACAGGATAGGGACATGGAGGCAGAGGGAAGGTTCCAGTAAGAGGAAGGCAGGAAAGAGAGCAGGTGGGTGATTCAAGCACTCCCCAGGTTTGTACTTATGGGGCCGATGCCCAGCTCAGAGGTCCTGGAGAGTCATTACCCCGTAGGAGAGTGGAGATGCTTTCTAGGCTCTAGTCCGTGCTGGTTTAATGTATGCATCAAACCCTTAGCTTAGGAGGGCCAGAGGAAGCAGACTATTTCTTAACGTTTCACCAGTCGTTAAATACTATTTTCCACAAATCCCTCTTTAGCCCCAAGTGGGCGAAGGGCTCTGTCCCACCGGACGCATAAGGAGTGGGTTGGGCGCGGCACCAGACTGAAGGGGCCGTGGTTCCCAAGACCTGGCCTCAGTTTTCCCGTTTGTTTGTTACGCGAGGAGGTGGTTAGATGTCCTTAAGGCCCCGTCCCCGTCCCGCAGATTGGGTTTGCAGCTGCGTGACCCAAACAGCCGGGCTTGCGCTCTTTACGGCCCAGGGAGGGTGTGTGAGGCTGTCGGGGATGGGGGTGGGCGGTGCGCGGTGCAGAAACCTAGTTGCACTACCGTCCGAGAGAATCAAAAGGAAACTGCTCACTTCATCTTGGACACGTTTTATATCTATAATTGGTAAATATGCAAATAAAGGGCCCCCAAGGTCTGAAAGGGGCAAATCCAGCTCTAAGCGAACGTCAGGGGCCAGGCTCTTCCTCGGGGAGCCCTGGCACCCCGCGCGCCCCTCTGAGAGCGCCCTTGGCGGGAAGGCAGCGGAGGCTGGAGGCTGGCGCCT